TTTTTAATAAGAAAAAAGAATTTCAGGAGATGAAATAAACTGCGTAACTTTTGTCATATGAGCATTATATTTTCTGATATTTTTTTTTTTTTGCAATCCTAAAACACAGAAGTAGTGCTCTATGTTGCTTTTAAAATCATAATTGGTAAATGGTTGACTGTCGTGGATAATGAAGAGAAGAATAGTTGGGGTGGTCAGTCAAAAAGGAAGGCAAAAATAAATAATAATATTTATTTTTACATATGCCGATGATTCGACCTGAAGTTCAGGCCTTCATCAGGGCTGTCTCCTTAAGTGTTGCAGAGAGAATGATTCTCGACTCCCTCTGAGAGTCGATTCTCCCTGCAACACTTAAGGAGACAGCCCTGATGAAGACCTGAACTTCAGGTCGAAACGTCGGCATATGTAAAAGTAAATATTATCATTTATTTTTGCCTTCCTTTTTGACCGACCACCCCAACTATTCTACTTTTAAAATCGTATTTCTCCCAGATAATATTCTAGAGCCGTTACTTCTAAGTTATTACTATTATATAAACAGGTATTAGGTTAGGACGAAATTTATTGTAATAGCAGTCATAACTTTGTTAATAATGATGAAATCATAACAGAAACAAAGTCCGTTTTCAAAACGTTGTAAACGATACTTCAAATGAAAATTTGTAAAACATTTGACTAGAAAGTATTTGATCACACACGCGACATTATAGCTTTTTTCAGTCAAGTTCATTTTGCAGTTGTCAGGAGTTGTAAAAGCTTTATAACTTCCGTATTTACATTATAACCAGTGTTGCCGTTTGTACGAGGATCCTCGTATTTGTACGAGATTATGACGTAATGTACGAGGTACGAGGATAGACCAGCCTCGTACCTCGTACATAACTTTTGCTGACGTATGCAATGCTAGGTTATATTTTTATGAATGAAGTTTAGAATTATTTTTACTGTATTAATATTTATATTAGTATGAAATACTGAACTTCTGTTGCTTTCTTGACTAATAAATTGGAATTATATCTTCTATAATTAAAGAATGATCCATTATTTCCTTCATTAAACTTTTTTTCTAAATCTATATTTTTTAAAATGTGTTGTAAAGGAAAAATAAAAAGAAATTTTTATCGTGCATAAAATAAAATACGAGAAAGTATAACCATTATTTCCTTCGTAATTATTATTTCCTTCATAAAACTGCAATTGTAAATATATTCTAGATAAATTAAATTTTAAAAAAATATTTTCGATTTTTAATCGAGTAAAGTAATTAATTGAAAAATGAAGTAGTATTCATAATGAACTCATCATAAATAATAGGGAAAAAAAAATATTTTTTCAGTGTTCCACATTTATTTTGTGCGAGACCTAATTGTAAGCTAAATATTGAAAGCTAAATATCACAATCTATTCATTTTTTATATCATAATGGATATCTCTAAAAGCATCAATGCCCCAAAATTAATTTTTGTTGGCCTTCCAGAACCACTAACGTCGTTTCATAAAAGTAGTTGTTTTGTTTTTACATAAAAAAAAAAATAATTAGTCCTCCCCCATATTAAATCTTGGATCTACTAATGGATATTGATGAAGAGTACTTTAAGAAGTTTATTTTGTTATTTCAATTTTTATATAAAGTGTCCAGTAGTTTCTAATAAAAATACATAAACTTTTTTATATATTTTATTAAGCGAATTTTACTACCTGACCATTTAACTTTAAAAAAAAGTAATGTAAAAAGGCTTTAAAATATATGAATAGAAGCAAAAACAAAAAGCTCTGATTTAATTTTACTATTTAAAAAACAATAACACTGGGCTTACAATAGTAAGAGTTTTGAATGAACAAGCTTACGAGGATGTACGAGGCTTCAGTACGAGGTTTTGTCAGAGAGCGCGCTACAACACTGATTATAACCTTTCATTACGTTTTTTTCGATAAAGATACAATTTCTAAAATTTCACTATAACAGTATTTTACATCACAATTCGCTAGTATTTAAATTACAGGTTTTTACAAAATGTCGTAGATAAGAAATGATACGTCAAAGATTTCGTTTTTTACATAGGAAAATAGTAACAATAAAAGAAAAATTATAGAGTCTATATATATTACTTAAAATTGAAAGAATTCCGTTAACAACCATACAGATGAGGAAAATATTAATTACGTTTTACGCAAATGTAATTAACAATATTCGCATATAATAAAATAATAATTAAAAAGCAATACAATTATCATAAATTAGAGAAAATAATCCATCAATGCAAAACAAAAGAAGGAAAATCCCCCTCCTTTTGACTATCCCCACCAGGACGATATAAGTCAGTCCCTCCAGAAATGACGTAGTCGAAACCTCTATAGACCATGACAATTTAATGTTCACTGAACATATTTTGCGACGATATATAACGTCATAGATTTAATGATGAATATATAACGGAGGACTCTTCAAGGTTATAGTCACTTGTTTTTAATGTAAGGTTTACTGTTTAAAGTTACGTACATGTAAGGTTTTTTTATAAGAAAAAGTGTATTATATTTTTATGTATAGATTTGGATAAATTTATGTGTATCGAAAATGTTATATTTATATGACATAGAATAAGAAATTGAAGAGAACAATAGTTGGTGTGGTCAGTCAAAAAGGAAGGCAAAAATAAATGATAATATTTATTTTTTACATATGCCGACGTTTCGACCTGAAGTTCAGGCCTTCATCAGGATTAGGTCTTTTATTTCTTTCTTATTTCAGCTTTCTCAATTTCTTCCCTCCTTCCTTTCATTCCTTTTCTCTGTTTTTAACTCTTTATTATACTATACATTGTCTGTACATCTTTACAATATCTCAATTTTCTATCTAACTACTCCATTCTCAATGTTTTAATTTTACTATTTATTTTCATTTTTTATATAACTTCATATTTCTTTTTTATGTTTTACATTTTATTCTAGGATTCCCAAGGTAACACTTTTGCCACCCTTTTTGATTATGCCTACTTCATCATTCCACACTTTGTAAAGGTTTTTATTATTTATCTCTTAGTTCTTAATCATTATTCTAACAATTTCATTTTACTTTATATTTATCTATTTTATTTTTCTAATTTTTTTATTTTATTTTTTATTTTTTATTATATTTTTTACCATCATTACTTATGTCTCTCATACCTTGTTATCTGGTTATTTTCTTAGCCCTGATGAAGGCCTGAACTTCAGGTCGAAACGTCGGCATATGTAAAAAATAAATACTATCATTTATTTTTGCCTTCCTTTTTGACTGACCACCCTAACTATTCTTCTCTTCATTATCCACGGCAGTCAACCAATTACCAATTAAGAATAAGAAATTCTTTTTGTAAATGTCAATGTTAACTAATAATGATATTACAATTTTCCAAACTTGTAAATGACCCTTAGTATGTTCGAAACGTCGAATTAAATTTTTGGCGATAATTGGCCTAATTTATGTAAAAAATAAAACCTTAAGACACCAAAATTAGGATAAATGAACAGAAGAATCATAGATTTCATTTTTTAGGATCAAAATATGAGCCAGAATAAAATTGACCAGGAAAACTCAAAACCTTATTTTACATAGGAATTGTCCTTACAGGACAATTAAACAGGGGGATTCCGTTTCGCCTGTCCTGTTCAATTTGGCATTAGAACATGCCATTAGGGAGGTAATGCGTACCGAGAAAGGGTTGGATCTGGGCGGGACAACATCCGTGCTGGGCTATGCTGATGATCTGGTACTGTTAAGCGAAGACCTTGAAACTATAAAACTAAATACGACAACGTTAATGAAAGCCGGTAAAGAACTAGGACTCGAAATAAACGTGGATAAAACAAAATATATGGTTAGCTGCAAAAATGGCGATACTACTGGTGATATCGATATAGATGGTAATATGTTTGAACAGGTAGATAAGTTTAGGTATCTAGGTTCTACGATAACTAGAAAAAACGAAATTGAAGAAGAGATTAAGGTTAGACTGAAGGCGGGAAATGCTTGTTATTTTTCTGTGACAAAACTACTTAGTTCGCGCCTCTTGTCCCGAAACTTAAAAATTAGAATCTATAAAACAATTATCTTGCCTACAGTTCTTTATGGATGCGAAACTTGGCCGCTTACATTAAGGGATGAGCAGCGTCTTAAGGTTTTTGTAAAATAAAGTATTGCGTAGAATATTCGGACCGAAGAAGGATGAGTTAACCGGAGAGTTCAGACGGTTACACAACGCCGAATTGCGTGAACTGTATCCGAGTAATATAATTGAGGTAATTTCATCGCGGCGAATCAAATGGGCTTGTAAAGTTGTTGGGCTTAGTAACGAGAGAATTCCTAAAAGGTTAATATTTGCTGTGCCGAATGGTAAGCGTCCGAGGGGTAGACCGAAGCGAAGGTGGGAAGATTGCATTAAAGCCGATCTGAAGGGACTGGGTTTGGAACGCGAACGGTGGGGGGAGGAGTGTAACAAGCGATTGGTGGTGTCGGCATCGAACCTTCGGGTTCGCTTAGCCTTTTTATTATTTATTATTGTCCTTACAGGCTGTTGCAATGTGGCTATCAATATAATAAAGCTATTTTTTTTTAATTTACAGATGTGCTAACCTTTAATTGTTGTGTAACAAAAGAAAATGGACTTACACCAAAAACCCGAATGGATTGAGACAGACAGATAGTCTTTACATCTTCAATGGAAGATGAAAACACTCGCTGTCTGACAGAGATAGACAAATGCTACTCAGATTAACGAGTATTGAGTATTTTACTCAAATTCAGTAACTGTTGGGAATTCAATCACTTCTTCAGTTAATCGATTGACATCAAATAAAGTAGTAATTAAACTCCTTGGTACTCAAAATAGGTCAGTACTCAAGTGACATTTGTCAGTACTCAAGTGACATTTGTCCATCTCTGGTGGCTGAGGAATTAAGTGAGGGGTCTATCCTTCCAGACGATAAATAAATAGGTTTATAAATAAACGATTCAGCTTTAGATAGTAGAATATTTATTTAAAAATATATATATTCATGTATTTATCTCATGTTGAAAATCTTGGCATTGTTCGCTTCATTTATTTCCATTTTCTTTTTCTTTTGATATATTTTTTTTCTATTTTATCTTCGTTTTGCTTTAAGTCCATAATATCACGGAATACTGAGTTTTGAATAATGCAGAATGGTGGTGTTCTCTGGTCAAGTCGAAACACTGCAAATGATACATAATCTTTATTTTATACATAACGATAATACATGTACATATATGTTTAGAAGTTTATAATTTAGTTATTAAAATAAAATATAAATATTTTTAATGACAAGGGAAATTACTTTTATTCGTTAAAAACTTTCAATAGGTAAAGTTTGAAATCAGTAGTAAAAGAAAATATTTAGTTGTGAAAAATTCGAATTGTTTGTGATCGTTACCTCAATATAAACTAAGCATTAAATTATCTTCATTCAAACATTTGGACGAAGTTTAAATGCCATTTTTTTATACTTAAGGGGACCCTACACGGTAATTCATGAATGAACGTCACAAGAAATTCCAAGATTGCCCGCTATCGCTTTGATCATGAAGACCCTTACACGTTCAATCATTACTGATCATTACTTATGTGAAGTTTCCACTTTTTTTTCTCTCCAATTTATTGTCTACTTGACTTTTTAAAGAAAAAATAGTTGAAAATGGTTAATAATAATATAGACTAGGGATATAAACAACTATTTACTTTTATGAAATTATTTACTTAATAACGAGACCTAGGTAAACTAACCTATCTAGTAGTAAGGTTAGTCTCATAGAAAATCGTTTTGACAAAAGTTAGTAAAATATAAGTCTACTACTTACAAAAATTAAGGAAAGGTATTGCGAAAATAATAAATTTGTTGAGGAAAATGGGAAAAGAACTGATAAATATACACAACGTTAAAGTTTTTTTTTCCTAAAGTAAATTGTGAAGTTTCCTCATTTTTTTTTTTAATTTGTTGCCCACTTGGACTATTTAAAAGAAATAGTTGAAGATGGTTTAAAATTATAAACAAGGGATATGAAAAATTATTTAACTATTTACATATAATGAAAATCAGAAATTTATAATGGTTGTGAGGCCTAGGTAACCTAACCTATCCAGCAGTATGGTTAGCCCCCCACTACTTTTACCTCAGCCCCCCTCCACTTCTCGTGAATGAACCTTTGATTTCCGGATGTTCGGAAATCCGCAGCGCACCACCATCAGTACTTCATTCACTACCTTACACGACAATTCGGAACGTCATTAGTGCAATTCCGATTGACCGTGTAGGGTCCCCTTTGTGGTTTTATTTTAGGTGGGATCATGTTTAACAATATAATGTAAAGGCTATATTATCACTTGGTGTATTATCAACGTTTCCAGGTCAGTCCTATGAAGATTCAGAGAATTGATTATTCATCTTCCATACTCACGTACTGAATTAACAGAGGATATAAAGGAGACCCTACACGGTCAATCGGAATTGCACTAATGACGTTCCGAATTGTCGTGTAAGGTAGTGAATGAAGTACTGATGGTGGTGCGCTGCGGATTTCCGAACATCCGGAAATCAAAGGTTCATTCACGAGAAGTGGAGGGGGGACAGAGGAAAAGTAGTGGGGGGACTAACCATACTGCTGGATAGGTTAGGTTACCTAGGCCTCACAACCATTATAAATTTCTGATTTTCATTATATGTAAATAGTTAAATAATTTTTCATATCCTTTGTTTATAATTTAAAACCATCTTCAGCTATTTCTTTTAAATAATCAAGTGGGCAACAAATTAAAAAAAAAAATGAGAAAACTTCACAATTTACTTTAGGAAAAAAACAACTTTAACGTTGTGTATATTTATCAGTTCTTTTCCCATTTTCCTCAACAAATTTATTATTTTAGCAATACTTTTCCTTAATTTTTGTAAGTAGTTGACTTACATTTTTCTAACTTTTGTCAAAACGATTTTCTATGAGACGTTATTAAGTAAATAGTTGTTTATATCTCTAGTCTATATTATTATAATAATCATTTTCAACTATTTTTTCTTTAAATAGTCAAGTAGGCAATAAATTGAAGAGAAAAAAAAGTGGAAACTTCACAATTTACTTATAGAACAAAAATCTTTAACTGTTGTGTTTATTTGCCATTAATTTTTCCATTTTTCTTAACAAATTGATTATTTTCGCAATACTTTTCCTAGATTTTTGTTTGTAGTTGACTTATATTTTTTTAACTTTGGTCTAAACGATTTTCAGGCACTAGGAAGTAATTATTATATCTCCGTTTTTCTCTTGATGCCCAATATTATAAATGACAATGTCCAACTAAGCATATCTATGCTGTTTATTTGTTTACAACTGAGCTAAATGGGTATCAGCAACGATAAGTAATGATCAGTAATGATTGAACGTGTAAGGGTCTTCATGATCAAAGCGATCGCGGGCAATCTTGGCACAGCTTGTGACGTTCATTCATGAATTACCGTGTAGGGTCCCCTTATAGGAAAGGTTCAAGTGACATCGCATCTTTGGTGTGAAAGCTCTAACATCAAGATGTATCTTGCGTCTTGCACCTTCGGTATGAAAGAGGCTTGATGATTATCAATAGAATATGATAATTAAATAAAATAGGTAGTATTATTATGATAAGGGTCGTGATGATTCCAGACCATTCGTGACGAATATGAAGGATAGTTGCAACCATTCCATCCATTAGACTAGTTCTGATTGGCTGAAATAGAATTTTCTATTTGAGGTGTTTTATGAATCATAAATTTAATATTAATTGCTCATTGTCAAAGAACGATTCTTGAAAACGTATCCTCAATGACGTTATATCGAACAATGGGAACAATGGAGTCGTATTGCGGCCATAACCTTTTTTTTTAATAATCACAGCTTATTTATTATTTTTAAAAATTTATTTATTGAGAGAAGAATATATTTTGCCTCAATCAATTTTTCTATATTAGATATTGTTTTTTTCTAAAATTTTTAGCTTTCCAACGATATATTATACGTATACCTTCTGACTAGTATTTCCGGAAATTCATTTTTGACCTAAATAAACATTTTACCTTTTTTCTCCATTTTTCAATTATCATATTCTTTCAAAAGTTATATTAAGCATTTTTCCGTTACTCTAAATAATTTTAGATGATTGGCTTTTTATAATAAACCATATTACAGGTACTTTAGAGGAAGACGCATATGAACATTGGACATTTAAGCCCTGTAAAGTGACATCAACGGGGATAAGACCTAATTGATATTAAAGACTACTTAATTATACAATGATAATCCGAGTTTAATCAAAATCGTTAGAGTAGTTTTTGAGAAAATCGTAAAAATGTGTATAACCGTTTATATAAAATGCCACTTCCCGTTAGTCGATTTTAACGTAAAAGTGGCTGTCATATCAAAGGTATATACCTATCTAAAATATGTAATATCAGTTTCGTACGACTTTTCGTTTTTGAGCTATACTTGCCACAGACACACAGACCATTTTGCTACACTTGGTTATTTGGACTCAGGGAACCTCAAAACATGTATTTCCGTTGAAAACTGAGATTAAAAAATTATCACGATTGCAATACTTCCCCTTGCTGTATATTACATATATAGGTACCTACATATAAAATAAAGTTATTTTATTAGATAATAAAATCACTTTTTTTTATCATATAAATCACTCCATGTCATAATTTTTTTTTTTCAATTATTTCTCGAAAGACAGTTAAATGGCCACATAAAGCCAACTTAAGTCACGAAGAAATAATGGTAAGTCAAAATAAACGTTGACATGAATAATAAGAAGAAAAACATTCTTGCAGGATTAATTTAGTTCAATGTTGCAATTACATAAAGTAGTGTTCATGCACAAAATCTTTTGTAACCTAAGAAGGGATTTTCATGGCAAAAATCAAAATTTTTGAGGAGGGTATATTTTGACAGGTTTTTGGATTTTTGAGGTGGGCAAATTTTGAGTTACAAATTTTCGGAGTTACATGGAACATACCTTGGGGGCGGGGTGGCCGAATAGGCTAAAGCGTGTGTAACAGCACCGCTAGTTGCCTGGCAACCGAATAACAGAGATTTGAGATGATATAAAAAGTACGAGTTCGCGTCCCGGTGCCGGAGGAGATTTTAAATTTCCCCGCCCTTACCCCCCGGCCCGGGAAAACCCCGTATAGCCTAAAAGGCGAGGTTGGGAAGAACAAAAAAAAAAAAGAACAAAAAAAAAAACATGGAACATACCGCTGCAGGTGTAATTGTATATAATCTTAGGTTTTTTCTAATCCTATCTTAGCTTGCTCTGTTTTTAGGAAAAGTTGAGCAATAAAATATCTTGGGAGGAGAGGGGGGGAGGGTAGGTTCTTGCGCCATCGGCTTTGGGGAGGGGATGGACACCTCCTATTTGTTACAACCTATTGTCTATCGAAATCGATTAGATTCGGAAAAGGAGTCTATACTACCGTATTACATACAGCTTGCCTCAGTTCTTGCTGGACAAACTCCTGGGGGGAGGGAGTGGGAGGAGGGTTCTGGACAAGATTTCCAACAAAAAACTACATTTAATGCCTGGGCAGGTTCCGAACGGGAAAGAAATACCTTTACATAGACTTTACAACATCATCTCACAGAACTAAACGATTGGTGCAAACTCTGGAAAATTCGACTCAACCAAGAAATATCACAACACATCACTTTCACTCTTCGACATGCAACATGTCCTCCTATTTACCTTGACAATGCCGAAATTCCTCAAACAGATAAAATACAATATCTTAGACTGACATTCGACAGAAGAATGACATGGGGTCCACGTATCAACAAAAAAAGAAAAACTTTAAACGTCATACTAAGAATGTTATACTCACTTCTCTCAAGACTCTCAAAAATTAAACCTAAAACAGAAATTGAACACTTCCAACAGTTCAGTCCAAACTTTCAGGACCATAACTAAAGCTCCATGGTACGTCACAAACATTACATGACATGAAGACCTTCAAATGCCAACAGTTAACGATCACATACGGACACACTACAAACGATTTCACAATAACTTACATTTACGTATGGCTACATTTAACATGCCCGAAAACACACTTAGGAGACTCAAAAGGAGCTGGATGATTGATTTCCTCGCTTAAAAATATGCGAAATTCAAGGAAGGGATGCCGCTGGGCACTCCTCTCCATCACCCCGATCAAGCCACTACCTGTACACTTACCCACAGCAGACCCACTTATTGTCATTGCTTATGACAGGTGTGGGTGAATAAGACCAGTTTGTGTGGTCATTTTTTACTTTCAGTTTCCTATATATGGAATATATAGTAAGGGCAAGTATTGCGATCGTGAAAATTTTCGAATCTGAGTTTTCTCCCACTCAGTCCAAATAACCAAGTTCCGTCTGTGTGTGTGTGTGTGTATGTACGAAGCTGAAATTGCGTATTTAACGTTTTTATAATCCTTGGATGTTACAGTAACATTTTCGTCAAAATCGGCACACCGTAAGTTGTACTTTATATATTAGATTTAACACATTTTTACGGTTTTTCCCAAAAACCGCTCTAACAATTTTGATTTAACTCACTATATTAGTGTATTATTAAGCGTATTTAATATAATGTAGGTTCATAGATGTTCTCTAACAAAGCTTAAATGGATAATTTGAAATAATAAACCTTTTCACATTAGTCTTTGTTACAACAATAGTGAAATATAAAATATGAAAGAATTTAATAATTAACTAAAGGAGATATAAGATATCGTAACTGATAATATTTGTAATGTAAGAACCAAAGGAATACGAGCGCGTCCGAGCTCGCCCTAAAGAATACAACACTACAAATACTATAATTGTAATGATTAAATTAATATTATACGGACTCCGACAATATTATGTACATATACATATGCGGTTTTCATTAATGTTATTTAATTGTATGGAATATTGCGATATAAAGATTATAAGAGTATTTAAGCTAATAAAAATACACACAATGAAATGTAAATAAATATAGCGTCTATAATTTTTACTTTCTCTTTCCCTCTTCTCTGAAAATACTCATTTCTGCTAAGAATGGAGTGGTATGTGAATGTTGTGTGATGCACGCACCAGATTTATTTATTGGATAAGAATGAATTGCTCAAAAACTTTACAAGATAATAAAATTCTAACTACACCATCGTAGAGTATATAAAATTTCCTTTGATAGTGTAGTGATTAAATTTACGGCCATATTATACCATCTGGGGGACGGGGTAGCCGAGCGGGCTAACACGTGTGTACAGCACTGTTTATTGCCGAGTAACCTGATAAGTTATGTGGAATAAAATAGGTACATGTTCGGGTTCCGGAGCCAATGGATTCTTTTTAACTCTCGCGTTAATCCGAGGGCGGGGAAGAGGAATAAAAAAAAAATGAATTAAACAAAATAATATTAGACCTCCTCAAAATTGATATAAATTATATAAAAAATAAATAAATAAAATTATAAAAAAAAAGGATTGTGCCATTCCTATTAATCTGTTGAGGTTATATTATTTTTAACATCTTATTTTTACTTAGACTTACGTATATATGTAATATATAGTATGTGTAAGTATTGCGATCGTGAAAATTTTTGATTCTGAGTTTTCAATGCAAATATACGTTTTGGGGTACCCTGAATCCAAATAACCAAGTGTCGCAAAATGGTCTGTGTGTATATTAACAGTCTAGCTCGAAAAGGAAAAGTCGTGCGAAACTGATGTTACTTATTTAAGATATGTGTTTTAGGTATGTGCCTTAGGTGTGACTGCAACATTTTCCTTAAAATCGGCTAACTGGAAGTGCCACTTTATATCAACGGTGAAACACATTTTTATAATTTTCACAAAAATAGCTCAAACGATTTTAATTAAACTCGGTGTATCAATGTACAATGAAGTGGTCTTTAAAATCAATTAGGTCTTATCCCCATTGATGTCACTTTACAGGGCTTAAATACCAAATGTTCATATACGTCTTCCTCCAAAGTATCTTTAATATGGTTTATTTTAAATAGTTAACCATCTCTCATTATTAAGAGTTACGAAAAAATGCTAAATATAAATTTTGAAAGAATTTGATAATTGAATAACGGAGAAAAAAATAGAAATTATCCAGGTCGAAAATGAATCTCCGGGAATACTAGTCAGCAAGTATACGTATAATATATCGTTGGAAAGCGGAGAATTTCAGCGAAAGCAATATCCAATACAGAAGTTTGTAGAAGATAACGGAGAGTGGCAAAAAAATTAGAAATGGTGCTTTTTGAAAATAATAAAATATAATATTATTTAACGTAAAGAACATGTTAAAAAAAAAAAAAAAAACAACGAAATTTACTAAATAAATGTAAACTTTTAAAATCCATCTTATCAAAGTAATGACATTGTTTAAAAAAAAAATTCATTGTACTTGTGTGAAATATAAGATTATTTCATTGATGTATAAAGCATATGTTTATAAATTTAAATACATTTATTGTAGTTTAATAATTCTAGATCTGATATTATATTTAAATAGTTAGGTATATTTCGTCCTTTTATTCCGGAAAATCATCATGTAATCTTTCAGAAAATTAAATTAGTGAATAATTTGATGAATTTTCCCTTTGTAATATTCCAACAGTATCCACTTACAATTAGAGTGACAACTTTTGACCTGTCTATGGAAAATAACTGTTTAATAACTAATTGTCGTACAACCCATAATCAACCGGTGATACAATAAATAGGACATTTGTTATTTTAATGGTATTTATTATTTGTTAGGTTTCAGCTTTGGGCTCGGTTGAAAATGCAACTAAAAATTTTTATAGTGTCCCAACACCGCCAAAAAATCTCACAATACTAATATCGCATTATACGAAAGAGAACACAAAATTGGACTTGACTCCATTCGAAATTACCTCTTAGAGTTTAACTAAACCACCCTGTATTTTATAACAGACTGAGGTCCACCTTATAAAATTAAGGTATTTTTTAAATTAAATCTCGGTCATCAATACATTTTTTCAAATTAATTTGATATTTTTTGAAGGAGCTTACTACCTGATCATTAATTCAATTAATGCTATGTTTGATTTACCTTCTTTCTTGTTGGATCGGGACAGGTACGGGTCTGAACTCGCTCTGCCTTGATGTAACGCCACGATGGCCCGATCGTATGCCTCCAACATGTCGCGAGTACAAACTGGCAGCTCCTCGACCATTACATCCCACAGCGTTTCCAGCTCGAATTGTAATTCTTTTTTTATCTGAGAAAATTTCCTCTCTTCGTCTTGATCATTGAGTTTCCTTTTATTTAATTTTGGTAGAGTAGAAGCAGGTGTAACAAAACCGTCATCATCGTCTTCATCACCATCGTTAGTTATATCCTCGTATTTTTTCGGCCAGTAAGATCTGAATTCGCTCTTCATCGGAGAAATCGGTTCTTGTTCATAATTATATTCTATCTCCCTGGGGTCGAATTCATCACTCTTGAGAGCAGTGACTATTGAAAGATCACGATACTGATGCCTGTAAGTGTCGAAATCATCAGGAGGAGTTGTATGATCATCATATCCATATATGGAAGTGTCGAGTTCTTCACTCGTGGGTGAAGGAGTCGTGAGAAGTTCTTGATCCTCGTACTTTTTCGTCCTGTAATGTCTAAATCCACTCTTCCTCGGAAGAGAAGCAGTTGGGTGTGAGCCAAACCTGTATTTTTTTCTTAAGTCTTGAAATTCGACACTCTCAGGAGGTGGAGTTGTATAACGTTCTCTTTCCCCAAATCCTTTTACCCTGTATTTCCTGGATTCTACTCTTCTGGAAGAGGCTGTCTTCGAGATCCTTTGATTCTGATATCTTTTCTGATATCTTATATCACTGCTGGGAGGAGTAAAGGCAGAAAGTTCTCTATCCTCGTATCCTCGATCCCGGTGAGCTCTGAATCCACTCTTCATCAAAGGAGCAGCTCTTGGACGAAGCCGATGATATCTTTTCGTCCAGTAGCTCTCCTGTCGACATTGGCAGGCGCAGATGAAACAGAAGAAGAGGATGGTGTAGATGGAGGAGTCCATCTTGACTGAAGAGTTTTCGTGCTGCAGGAGTTGACATTGAAAAGAAGACATTAATCCCTTTACGACTTGGAACAATAACAAGTCCAACTTTTAATGGCTCGTGAAATGCCTCCAATAAAGATAAAAGTCAACTTATCTTCACCATTATTTATAAAATTACATTCGATTACACAATTACATATATATAAGATATAATCGTTTTCTAGTGCGCTACATAAAATTTTAACCAAGATCAAGGTAGCATTGGAAAAGAAATAGAACTCTTCTCTCTTTTGTTTCCTCTGACTAATTATTAATTCCTATTTTAGCACGTGCATGTGCTCTTACATCTTATATCCCTTATATCTTGACTATCGTTTCTTGATGAGTATATGTGGCATGCCATACTATTGTATATATTTTGTTATTTTGTTTAAATTCTCTCTTCTTCCTTTTATTTTATTTCATTTGCTTGTACATTGTATTAATTCTGTAAATATTTCTTTCTGTAAATAGATCTCTTAAACTATTTTGCTGCTTTATAAAAATATCCAACCTAACCCCTTCTCCTCTGAGCTAGCATGGTAGAATAAATATTTAATAATGGCCAAATAATGGGTACGTAGCTTATATTTTCTAGATTTATCTCTTTAGAGATGAAAGGCTGGTAAAACCAGGTGCCCAACAAATAAAAATTCCTATGGAAAATTATATTTATTAAAACTTATTTTACTATATTTTTATTTATCCTTTTTTTTTGGTCATAAAATGTTAATATAAACTATAGCTATCTTTAAAGATAATAATGTAGAGATGGTAGACCGTTGATATAATATGATAAGGAGTTGATCAGGGGAGAGGGGTGCGGTCAAATTAATACTAAATTAAACAATGAAGAGAAGAATAGTTGGGGTGGTCAGTCAAAAAAGAAGGCAAAAATAAATGATAATATTTATTTTTACATATGCCGACGTTTCGACCTGAAGTTCAGGCCATCATCAGGGCTAAGAAAAGAACCAGATAACAAGATATGAGAAATTTAAAAATTACAGTAAAATGAAGTTATTAAAATAATGACAATAGTAAGAACAAGACTCTTAAGACGAGATTCTTGTCTCATTTTACTGTAATTTTTATGTTTCTCATATCTTGTTATCTGGTTCTTTTCTTAGCCCTGATGGTGGCCTGAACTTCAGGTCGAAACGTCGGCTAATGTCAAAATAAATAGTATCATTTATTTTTACCTTCTTTTTTGACTGACCACCCCAACTATTCTTCTCTTCATTATCCACGATAGTCAACCATTTACCAATTCTAAATTAAACAAGTAGAATTATTTAATTTTTGCCGACTTTTCGATCCACTTTGCAGGTCTTCATCAGGGCTACAAAAGATACATTTCTTTTATTTATTTATTCATTTATTTTATTTTCACCATGTTTTGTATCTTTTGTAGCCCTGATGAAGACCTGCAAAGTGGGTCGAAACATCGGCATAAATTAAATAATTCCACTTGTTTAATTTAGTATTAATTTGACCAAATCCCCCGATGAACTGCTTATCATTTAAAGATACTAAAATTATATCATTATCAGTATATAAATAGGCAAACACAAACCGGTTCAGCCTCTTTTTCTCCTATATTATTCAACCTATTTTCTTCCTTCTTATTTTTTTCAATAACTATTGACAAGTTTTAGTGTTATCAATAAATAAAAATATAAATGGTATGTAACTAAAAATGTAAGTGGTTGTTTGTTAAAAATAGCTAATCTCCGAAAGTTGGTCACCGATTTCGTTGAAATTTGGACAGACCGTCGCAATAATATTTAGGAGTGCTTTTGTATACTTTTCATTATCATCGGGCCTTTCCTTTCGAAATAGCGGCCGAAAAACGTGATTCGCTTTAGTCTGTAGCGCCAATACGGCTTCAACGGTTTCAAGCAAACTTGGCTAAAGTCTTCCCCTTGAAACCCTTTTATAATTTATGTATATAACATACTTACCCGAAAACAAGCTGCATAAATTTTTATAATGATTTCGGTACCATATTTGCGAATAATTCAAAAAGTACCCATTTTTAATTTATAATAACATTACTTATTTGAAAGCTTCCTGAATTTCCTACAAAATAATAACAAAATCTTCGAAATCGGACTATTTGTTTCAGATATATATCATTTTAATCATTTAGTACTTTTTCTTTTGCAAAGACGATATCCATTACTTCGGTTTTTGATAAATCGAAAACTTTACATTTAATGAAGTAATCGTGACTATTATTTGAAGATATGTTATCATTGACTGTACCTCATAAATTAAATTTAAATGTTAATTATATAGTTGTGCTCGTTCTTTACTTAAATACTGCACAAGCATTAGTTAATGTAACACGAATGAGACTGAAGTACTGACGGGAGCTACTTTAATTGAAAGAATTTAAATTCCTAGAATTAATTTAACAGTTTCTGAGACTATCTTCCATTCGAATTTCATAGAACAATGTTCTTATTAATAGCTGCATTTGCTATGACTATAATCAAATCGCAGGGTCATAGTTTTGGAAAAATTTTTGTATTATTGCGACGACCAGTAATTTCTCATGGACAATCATATGTGGCAGCAAGTAGGGCATGCTCACTTAACATTTTGAAATTTATATTTTCGATGGCAATGGCAATTTATATTTTGAATTGGCACGTTTTTACGCCCTCACTGAGAAGAAGTTTCCTCAGTTGGTGAGTGAAGAAAACTTCCCGCGGTTCAAAGACTTCATAATTGGATGGAAGATGGCGGTGGGTCCAACTCACTTCAACCTAGGTGTCCGCAGAAGGAGAAGAGAACCAGAACCGGGAAGACTTCCAGGTTCTGGAACCCAGAACTAATTTGTTGAAGAATGAGGAAAAATAAAACAGCTGTGAATTTTGTAAACTGATATAATTGCAGTAGTGTGTTATTATGCATTAAGTGGAAAAATGAATAATAATATCATTGTGTTCCTTGTAACTATATATTTAAAAAGCCGATGTTCTCACAAAAGGTGTCCGCACTGTCTCGAAATGGCGTCCAAACATGGCGGATTCACGACTTTCACTTGAGGTAGTTTTTAGGTCACTGAGGGTCAGCGGTTTTCTTAATTTAGTCATAATTGGTCCTTTATTAAAGCTCAATAGTCAAAGAATAATAAAACAAAAAAAAATTTAAAAATATCTCCAAACACACAATTTTTACTTACCGCTCAACTTTGAATGAAAATTATTTTCATACCGTGTTGGGATATTATAAAAATTTTTAATTGATTTTTTAATCAAGCTACAGCTAACAAATAACCACCTATAATAACCAAATAACCACACCCCTAACAAATCATAAATACTATTAAAATAATAGAAGTCCTATTCATTATATCACCGGTTGATTATGTATTGTACGACTATTAGTTATTAAACTGTTATTTTCCACTGCAAAGTTTACTAAAACGGAATCAAGAAATTCACAGCGTCTGTCATAAATAGTTCAAAAGTTGTCACACTGATTGTAAGTGAATTCTGTTGGTATATCGCAACGAGAAAAAATATCAAATTGTTCACTGATTTAATTTTCTAAAAAGTTACATGATGATTTTTCGGAATAAACGGACGATATATACCTAATGATTTAAATATGTCAGATCTAGAATTATTAAATTATTGTAAATATATTTAAGGTTATAAACATGTCCATGAAATATTTTTATATTCCACTTCTTCTTTCACACAAGAACAATGAAATAGTATCTTAAAAAATGTCTTTGCCTTGAATCTTAAAAAAACATTATCAAGCTGATTTCCAGTAACTCCGCAATGAACTTGAGGAGCCAAATGTGACCTGTACCATGAGGCTCCATTAAACCTTGGTCTGGTAGGACCCTGAAGGGTCTGCGTGGGTTAAAGGTTGGGTGGATCTGTGTGGCATGTCTCTTGGAACTTGTTTGTGAATTTCCTGTTGACTTCTCTTCACTAAGTGCGTCTCATTTCCGCTTATCTGATCTCGCTGAGGGTATTATTATTACAACATAAGATTCTCGTTGGCTGTCTACTTTGGCTGAGAAAAAAAAAAAAAAAAAACGCTACAAATGATTTCACAATGGTTTATTATCTCCAAACAATTATACATCTAAAGTAACATTACCTTCCGAGTTACAAAGAAAAAAAAACAAAAGGTGATTCCAATTATTGGACTAAACTGTTTTTTCTTTAATCATTAGTAATATGCTAACAAAAAAAAATAGCATTATTTCAGTAACACATTTAAAATTTAAAAACCAAACCAAGGATATAACATTTGGAGAAAAACACATAAAAACAAAACAGAGACCATTTCTTTGCTCAATATGCAATATCAACAAAAAAGTAAAAACTTTTCGAGTTATTCGGAATTTAATTTTAACATCCCTCGTAACTTTTTTTCCAGCTTCTTTTCGCTGAAGTATGTTATATAGATAAATTTAAAGGGCGTCGAGAAAATGACTTTAGCGAAGTTTCATTGAAATCTGCACATTCGTTTAGGAGCTACAGTCTATAGCAACGCAGGTTTTTCGGCCGCCATTTTGAAAGATAAAGGCGGAGAGTAATGTCGATGAAGAAGAATCATCCTCGGGCGACCTCTGAGTTTATCCCTACAAATCCCAATACCTTCATGGCAACATTAGCTGATGATACCGCAATCCTTTCCTCCAACACAGAGCCTCCCTAAACCTACAAAGTCATCTTTCTCTAATGAAGCAGTCTTTCAAGGATTGGCGTATTAAAGTAAATGAATCAAAGTATAAGCATATCACTTTCACACTCGGACGCAAATCCTGTCCGAAAATATTTTTTAACTCTATACCTCTTCCCTTCTTAGACACACACCGGCATTTGGGCTTCCTTCTAGACAAGAGACTGGCATGGAATCCTCATAGCGGGCTCAAAAGACAAGAGCTAATCCGATGATTTATACTATTATATAAACTACTGAACAGAAACTCACATCTGATAGCAACCTACTGCTATGTATTCTAAAGACCACCTGTGGAGTTACTTAATAATTTTAAA